TCACCAACATGCTCCTGGAAAGGCAATGGAGGACAGCAGGAGTGCCTGGGCCCCTGCCACCTACGTGGGATAACTTGATGGAATTCCAGGCTCCCGGCTTATGCCTCTGCTCTGCCCTGGCTATTGAAGCCAGTAAACAGTGGATGGTCTCCCCTTAGGGGCCGGGTGTGCAGGCTTGGAGCAAAGTGAGTCAATGAACCTTATGTTCAAAGAAGCCGCCACCTTCTTAGGATACATCCTGGCACCCCTGAGGGTCCCCTACTCTCGGCTGGAGGCTAGCAGAGGACCCCAGGACTGAGGAGTCTCAGGGCAATGAAAGAGGAGAGGCAACCCCACAGGGCCTCAGCATCCTTGTGAGCCACTGGGGCCCCCTAGCGGAAGGAAGAAGAAAGGAAAAGCGCATAATGGGAGGTGTAGGCCTGCTTGTACCCCAGGGGTGCAGGCACATCCCCCCCAACTTGGCTCCCAGCATCTGCTCCAGGTGCTCCAGGTGCTCCAGGTGCTGGCCATCTTCCCCCAGGCTCCTCCCCGTGCTCCCATCCATTCCTTAGCGCCTGGTGCCAGGGGTGGTGTGGATGCGGTCGGAGCTATGGGAAGCTGTGAATGAGCGCCACCCCTTTTCCCCAGTCAGTCCGTCAGTCTTTCTCTCTCTCTCTCTCTCTCTCTCTCTCTCTCTCTCTCAGACCTGCTCTCACCTCCAAGCCACAGGTCTGGAGAGCAGTCTCTACCCTTGACCCCCGGCTGAAGAACTGACAGGGGGAGGGTATAGCCAGCTCTCCCCCTCCCCCAACCAAAGACAGGGCAGTGCAAAAATGGGGTGTGACTACTTCTGTCCCTAGCCAAGAGCAGCATGTGCAGCCCCCTGGTTTCTCCATTTCAGAGCGCTACTCCCTCCCCACCACCTTCCCCCAAACAGGGCTTCCCTCATTGAGAAACTTGATCCATTTTCCTCCAAAGATGAGGGGAAAAAAAATACCACTTCTAAAAATAGTTCACCTGGTACCAGCTGTTGCTATGGCAACCTTCTCCTCCTTCCTGAGGAACTTCGTGATGAAAGAGGGTCCTGGCCCTGGAGGGGTGGAAGGTGACTGGGGAGGAGGAATTAGGGGAGTCCTGAACCGGGAGTACCCAGTAAACATAGGGGCTCCCCCAAATCTGAGCCTCCGTGGTTGGGAGAGAACTGGAAACAGTTGTATGTGGGTATGAGTTCAGCCAGGGAAAGGGGGCAGAGGATGTGATGGACTTGGGGCCCCAAGCTCTTATGCCAGCCACACACCGGGTGCTTCCGGGAGGAACTGTTAACCAAAATGCTTCGTCCAAGCCCTCCAAGAAGTCAGCTGCAGCACCTCTGGCCCCAGAACCCTGGCTCCTTCCTAGCACCATAGAGTCATAAGGGTCCTCAGGAGAAGGCTCGAGTTGGCCCAGAAGATGCTGGGCTACCGGCTTCAAAAGGGGAGAAGCTGCCCGCATGCCCCTGTCAGCTCCCGGAGCCACCAGTAATCCTTGGCTGGTAGACACAGCACTCCTCTATCCTCAGGCATCTCTTGAGTCTTGACAGAGATCTCTCATTTGCTGGTTCACTCTGCAAATCCCTACAGTAGCCGAGACTGGGTCACACTAAAACCAGGAGCTGGTTCAAGACCTGGCTGCCCCACTTCCCATTCAGCTCCCTGCTGTAGCCTGGGAAAGCAGCAGAGGCTGGCTCAGGGGCCTCGGCCCCCGCACTCATGTAGGAGACCCGGAAGAAGTTCCTGGCTTTGGACTGGCCTAGCTCTGTCAGCCACGTGGGGAGTGAAACAGCTGATGGAAGATATCATTGTCTCCTCTGGAATGCTGCCTTTCAAATAAAAACCAATCAATCTGGAAGGCAGGAAGGCAGGCAGGCAGGCAAAACCCTAGGTCCTCCAATATAGGACACAGCTGTTCCATGCAGTGGCTTAATCGCTACACTAAATACCCACTGCTTTTTCTCCTTGCTTTACATGGACCCCCATCTTTGGGGGTACAGGACTCCCTGGATTCCAATGTGATGTCATCCTCATTGTGTCTGCCCCTTTAGATACAGTCACACCGTGAAGCTCCAGGAGAGATGTGAATGTGACGCGGATGTTGGGCAGCCCAGCCCAGCCACCGGGGGTCCGACACTGTGTAGGGTGAGGATCAGGATTAGGTGGCTCCCTGCAGCCGAGCAGCCACTGCCCTACCAGCCAGAACTAGTGGACTTTTCGGGGTCTGAGGTCTTCTCCGACGGCATGGTTGAGTCTGAGGACCAGAACGTTTACCGCTTGCTTGTTTGCTCCCTTGTGGTCCCTGCTGTCCTCAGAGCTGGCCGGTCGTGCCTCGTGGCCCCGCCCTGGGCCTGCTCAACCATCTGAGGCTTCTCTTGGTACCTAAACCAGCAAGGCAGATGTTGGGGGCATGGCTGTACGTGTGAGGAACCCGTCTCAGTGGGGACAGGGGCAGAGCTAGGGACCCAAGGACTGAAGCCATCACTGGCTGCCTCCCATGGAGCATATTAACGGGAAGCTGGAAGCGAGCAGAGAGCCAGGACTTGAACTCCCAGGCCTCCCAACTGGCATTTTAATTGCTAAGCCAATGTCTAGGCCCTCCCTCGCCAACCTGCTCCTTCGTTTTTGGTGTCACTGCCCCCTACCTACCTACCTACTTACACACACACTCACTCCACCTACCTACCTATACACACACACACACCCCACCACTACCCCAGCTCTTCATGAAAGCTGTTCAGCTGTGTGATACACTGGTCACCTTGGTCTCCTGACTTGCTGGCCATGTGTGTTCCTCACCTCTGTTTTGGTTACTGCTGTTCCCATATTTACAGGTGCAATATGTGGTTCTCCCTCCTGTGGGAAACCCAGTTTTGCTGTGTCGCTGGGAGGCTTTGGCTGACTGTCGGTGCTCGCTGTTCCTCCCAGGAATTCCTCACCTTGAAATTTTCCTCCCTGGGGACAGTGGGAGCAGAGAAGCTACATGTGCACCTGCTGGGCTTCACTTCAAAGTGTCAGCAGAGGCCAGTGTGCTGGCACAATAGGCTAATCCTCCACTTCCAAGCGCTGGAATCCCATATGAGTGCTGGTTCATGTCCCAGCTGCTCCACTTCCCATCCGGTTCCCTGCTTGTGGCCTGGGAAAGCAGTGGAGGATGACTCAAAGCCTTGGGACCCTGCACCCATGTGGGAGACCCAGAAAAAACTCCTCGTTCCTGGCTTTAGATTGACTCAGCTCCAACCATTGGAGCTATTTGGGGAGTGAACCAGCAGATGGAAGATCTTTCTGTTTCTCTTTCTCTCTGCAAATCTGCCTTTCCAATGAAAATAAATCTTTATAATAAACAAAAAGCTTTGGCAAATTGAATGCCAGTGTCTTTACAATTGGAGGGAAACCACATCAGAAAGGTTTTACTTGTATCTGTCAGTATTCATCTGATCTACCAACTCCAGATAAAAAATATTCAAAGGCACTTGATGTTGTAGCACAGCAAGTTAAGCTGCTACCTATAATGTCAGCATCACTCATGAGTCTCAGTTCAAGTCCCAGCTGCTCCACTTCTAGTCCAGCTCCCTGCTAAGGCACCTGGAAAAGCTACAAAAGATGGCCCAAGTGCGTGGGTCCCCTGCTGCCCAAGTGGGAGACCTGAATGGAATGCCAGACTCCTGGCTTCAGCCTGACCCAGCCCTGAATTGTGGCCATTGGAAGGGTGAACCAGCAATTGGAAAATTGCTCTGTCCCACTCTGTCCTCTCTCTTTAACTCTGCCTTTCAGATACAGAAATGAATCTTGGGGGGGGGGAAAAAACTGCCTGTAGGGAGCGTGTCCGGACTTTTGTTCTTGTCCTCATCCCCTGGACAACACAGCATCATGGCTGCGGACATGGCATTGATGGTGCATGGAGCAATCACATGTGACCTGGAGTTGACAGAAGGCACGGGAGGGTGGGCATGCTTCCGGGTCAGCGGACTTGCACAGCCCCACGGGATTTCAACTTCAGGCTGGTACCAGTGGCTGGCGAGGGGTTGGGCGGGGAGCCTGAGCAGCCTGAGTCTTGCTGTGGGAGTATGGGAGTGGATGGCAGGGGTGTTGGGGCTGTAGGTGGCCAATCACAGGTAGCTCAGGGCTGGGCAGGTGCCACCGTCTGCATGTCTGTGCCGGCTGCCCAAGCCCAGTCCTGTGATTCTCCCTGTGGCCTCCGCAGCCCTGCCAGGCCTCAGGCCTCTCCAGCTTTCTGTTCATATCATTGTCACAGCTTCTGCTACTGGGGCTCTTCCCTTCTGCAGGCGGCTGCTAGGATGTCCTACAGCCCCACCTTGCCCAATGTCAAAAGGGCCAGGTCCTTGGACTCCTTGGCTGCCTGGGTCCCTGCAGTAGCCCCCTCTCATGGCATACCCCTTCATGTAACTCGACTGGCCTGCTGCTGCCCAGAGAATCAGCCCTGTCCATTCCCGGGCAGCTTGCCCATGTAGGAAGAAATCTGTTCTCTCAAAATAAGCCTTTTTTTTTTTTTTTTGGTTGGTTAGTTTTAATTTTGTATCTTGGGTTGCAGATGTCCTTCATATAAAAAAAAAAAAGAAAGAAAAAACCATGAGGGAGGCTGCTTGTTTCTGAAACTAGGCCATCCAGTGTGTCTGGAGTCTGGACACACATAGAACAGGAAACAAAGTGAAGTTGGCAGTGAGGGTGCCAATCACGCCCGGGCCACGGGCTCCCATGCAGAGAGTATCCATGTCAACCAAGCCAACTTCACAGTGCGGCCCACCTTACCTGCCCACAGCCACCCCTCCAATGCAGTTTGGTGTCTCTGCACGGCTGCGTCCTCTGCCTCTGACTCAGGTGAAGCGGTATGCACCTGCTTGGGGCAGGGCCACAGCCAGGCGCACCTTTTGCCCTTGCTGGGAGCCACACTGGGCACCATGTGGGGAACTGGTGCCTCCTAGTCTTGCCTACCCTGGTTGCTACTAAGCCACCCCGTTTCCCCCTCTACAGATGACTCTGGGGACGATGACGACGAGACTGTGGCCCCCACTGACAAGAGCGAGCTGCGCTACACCCTGAAGAACCTGTCCTTGAAATTGGACGACCTGAGCACGTGCAACGACCTCATCGCCAAGCACGGTGCCGCGCTCCAGCGCTCGCTGACGGAGCTGGACGGCCTCAAGATCCCGGCTGAGAGTGGGGAGAAGCTGAAGGTGGTGAACGAGCGGGCCACCCTCTTCCGCATCACGTCCAATGCTATGATCAACGTGAGTGTCCCCTCCCCTCCCCCAACACTCCCATCCCCAAGTCTGGCGCCCTGGGCCACTCCCGGTGGCTACAGCCACTCTCCAAGGCCAGGCCAATGGTCTCCTGAGCTTCTGCCACTCTCTACCAGGACATCTAACCGTCTGTGGAGGGAGGGGTGGTCAAGTGGTGGAGATGCCCACATCCTGTATCAGAAGGACTGGGGTTCGAGTCCCAGCTCTGCCAAGGCCAGCCTTGGGAGACAGTCACTGAGGGTGCAAGGGCTTGGGTCCCTGCCAGCCACCTGTTAGACCTGGGCTGAGTTTTCAGCTCCCAGCTTTGGTCCCCCTCCAGCCCCAGATGGTGCAGGCAGCTGGGGCAATGAACCAGCAGATGGAAGCTTTCTCTGAGCCACCCCTTCCACCTGCCCTGGTATGAGGAGGGTTAGGCTCCCAGGTTGAACCATGGCTCTGCCCATACAGGAGGGACACAATAGCCACGTGGGCCCCCTGAGCTGGGATCCAGCTGCCAGGCACAGTGTGTATGAGTGGCAGGGATCAGGGGAGCTTTGCAGCCAAACCTGGTGAGTGGTGAAAGTCAGCCATCTCCCCAGATCCTGGAGGCCACACAGCTGTGACTGGCACCCTGGAGGGATTCTCTCCCTGGTTGCGTAGTGTTGGCCAGCCTTCTGGGGCCTTCTTCTTTGTGTCCCCAGAAATGGTGTATTCTCTTCCAGGGCTCCAAGGACAGCCCACACCTGCCCAAGTTGAGGTGGCCTTGGGAGTACCCAGCCTGGGGCCTGAAGCTGAACACAGTGTGCCCTCTTTCCAGACTTCAGGGAAGCTCAGATCCCAGGTGCCACCCGCCTGGCTCAGAAGGGCATCCCTGTGTCTGTGTGTAGGGAAGTCATTAGTCCCCATGTGCCAGGGCTCCTCGGAGGCTGCATCTGTGCCCCCTTCCATCTGTGCTCTTGCTGGCCTTCGTCCACCCTCTGAGCTGCTGTCCTTACAGCCCACGTCCCAGTGCCTCCACCAGTGGCCCGCACAAGTATTAAACCTTGGCAAACACAGGGATGTGTTGGCATTTCCTGCCCCAGGCATACCTCTCCAGTCAAGCCCACCTGTTTAGTTTTTGAAGATTTTTTTTTAAAGATTTATTTGAAAGGCAGAGTTAGAGAAAGAAAGGATCATTTGTCTGCTGGTTCACTTCTCAAATGATTGCAGAGGCTGGGGCTGGACCAGTCCGAAGCCAGGAGCCAAGCGCTTCTTCCAGGTCTCCCATGTGGGTGCAGGGATCTAAGTGCCTAGGCTACCCTCTGCCAGTTTCCCAGGCCATTGGCAGGGAGCTGGATAAGAAGTGGGGCAGCCAGGACAGAAACTAGTGCTTATATGGATTCCTTGGAGAAGGAGGCTGAACCTGTTGTGCCATAGCACTGCTCCTACCCACCCCCACACTGGTTTCACATTAGCAGCTTTGGCTTCTTCAGGGTTTTTTTTATATATATAAAGATTTATTTGTTTTATGGGAAAGTCAGATATACAGAGAGGAGGAGAGACCTAGAGGAAGATCTTCCATCCGATGATTTACTGCCCAAGTGACAGCAACGGCTGGTGCTGTGCTGATTCGAAGCCAGGAGCTTCTTTCCGGGTCTCCCACGCGGGCGCAGGGTCCCAAAGCTTTGGGCCGTCCTCGACTGCTTTCCCAGGCCACAAGCAGGGAGCTGGATGGGAAGTGGAGCAGTTGGTGAGGGAGTTGAGAGTGTGGGAGACATTGTCTGTGCCACAGCCCCTAGGCAGAGAAAAGTAGGCAGCTGGGGGCGGGGAAAACACCTGAGCAGGCTCCCTAGGGTGTAGAAGGGAGAGGGTGGGAGCCACCCACTGCCTTCAGTCACAGATCTCCCACCCTGCTAACAGGAGGGCAGCTGAACTCTGGACCTTCAGGCAAGTGGCTGGCCAGGCATCCGTGGGTTCCCTGGCTCAGGGAGGGCACCTGGGTATCTGGTGTCCAACAGTCCTATCAACCTAGGTCCCAGTGTTGTGCCGCTTTTTGAAATCCCCAGATAATCATCAAGTCTAAAGTCGGTGCTAAGGCATAAAGGTGGTTTATTCAGGTTAACCTAGGTCTCCCAGCCACCTCCCCCAGCCCAGCATGGCTGAGCGGGGAGGGGCAGCCGCATCCAAGGCTGTTAGGATCCACAGGGAGGGAAAAAGAAGCGCAAGCCAGAGAGAGCCCAAGCCCCACAGTTCTTATACATTTCAGGCTATTAATTATACAATCATGATTTAGGAGGCTTCTATTGGTGGGTTTGAAGCAAGCAACTTTCAAAAAGTACAAATCAATGAGCTATAGGGCGGTGAATCTTATCAAACACCAGGTACCTTATTCCTGAGGAGTGGTCTGCCTGCATGACCTGCCAGGTGTCCTGCTGGGTGTCACATAGACTATCAGGTCTGAGGTTCACACAGCCCCTAGTCAAGCCATTAAAGGCAGAATCACAAAAGGCAGAAAACATCTAGGTTCTACACCAGCCTCTGTGCAGCCTGGGCCACCAGCGGGGTCTGTCGGCATAGCCTTTGCACCCATTTTCCCTTCCCTGATTTAAGACTGGGGACAGGCTCTTCTTAGGTTGGGATGCCACGGGCACAGGATTCCCTGGAGCTGCAGCTGGAAACAGGACCATAACCAGCCTCAGGGGAAGGGGGCGGTGCTTGCCCTAACACAATTCACACTTTATCCAGCACGTATTAGGGAGCTGTTGTCCTGAGGTAGCTGAGAAGCTCAGAAACCTGGAGAAGGGCACCTGGAACACTGGGACCCTGCACCTGTATGGGAGACCTGGAAGAAGCTCCTGGTTCTTGGCTCTAGCCCAGCCCAGCTCGGCCACTGTGGCCATTTGTGGTGAGAACCAGCCAATGGAAGATCCCTCTCTCTTCCTTCTCTCTCTGCAAATCTGCGTTTCAAATAAAAATAGATATATATTTATTTTTAATTTTGAGAGGTAGAAAAACAGAGAAAGACACAGAGATAATTGCCCTTCCACTATTTATTCCCCAAAATGCCCCCCATGCCCAGGGATGGGCCAGACCAAAACTGGGAGCAAAGAGCTCTAATCAAATTTCCCCAGGTGGGTGAACAGACCCCCAAGTACTGGCACCGCCACCTGCCACCTCTCAGGTGCACGTTAGCAGGAAGTTAGACCCCAGGCAGGGAGGTAAAACTTGGCCTTGGGAACTCCAACATGGAATGTAGGCATCCCAACTGGCATACCCATGCTGTCAAACACCACCCTTACCCTGTCCTCTATAAGACTCTCCCCTGCCCCACCTGTGGATGCCAAGTTCAGGGAGGCTGTGGGGAAGGACTAGGAAAGTCTATGAAAAGTGAGCAGGTGGGCTGGGGTCCAGCTGAGTGCTGCAGGTCCCAGTAAGTTGAGGGCGTCTCCACAGTAACATCCCCACATCACCGCCCACCCCACCCTAGCCATGACCTCCAGTATCACGTGGACATCGTCGCCGCAGCACCCACAACCATCCTCCGTGCAAAAGCCAGGACACGGTCTCCCTCACAGTGCCAGCCTCCAGGCCTGGCGCAGCGCCCAGCATGTGGGAGCCTCCGCAGCAGACAGGCAGGGAGGGGAGAGAGGAGGAGGGGAAGGGTGCAGAGAATTGTGAAAGAACATGGAGCTAATGAATGAATCGCCTTGCATCTGACAAAGCTCCCCAGTGGGTAATGTTTTTGGATCCTGATAAAAAGCCAGCGCACGCAGCAGGTTGGTTTGGATTACCGCTCAGGGTAAGTGTGAATCAGCCCACCATTGAGGTACGAGCCCACAGCAGGATCCAGCCGGCCGGGGATTTAGAACGAGCCCAGAAGCTCCACATGCCAGGCACAGGGCCACCCTGAAACCCCAAGGCCCAGCTGGGCCTGACCCCTCTCTGCTGGCCATGGAGGGGGGACGCAGGGATGTGGCATCATATCACCTATCACTTGAGATCTCCCGGTGGCCTTGAACCCCTCCAAGCTAGGTAGAGCTGTCACAGGGGCCAACGAACAGTGGGGAGAAGGAGATAAGGGGGTGGGGGAGAGCTGGCAGTGGGGACAGATGTGTACACACAGACAGCAGTGCTGGGATGAGGCCAGCATCCGCAGGAGCTGTGCAATCCTCAGAATAGCCTGAAGTTTCCCCCAATCCCCACCCTCGCAGCACCACCACCTTGCTTGGCTCACTGCCCAGGGGATCACCCAGAGCTTAAGCGATGGGAGAGAGACCCCGAGCGGCCGCCTCGTCCTTCCGGACCCAAGGGGGCGGGTTCCTGACCAGCTGACCACTGTTCGGCTCTGACAGCTTGCTCCCTGGGGGCCTGGAGAACTGGGTAAAAATAGATAGCAGAGCTGCCCCCTACAGTCAGCATGCTGGCAGCCAGATGGTGTCCGTCCTTGTGCACAGGGGGGTAAATGCATGTCCAAGTGCAGGAAGGACTATTTTCAAGCTGTGATGGGAGTGGACAGAAGCAGAGTGACTGTCATCCCCCTAACCCACGCTGCCCACCTCGGCATCTCAGAAGGGTGAAGCACCCCCTAGTGCTGGTCACCCAGCCCCTGGTCACACTTCCGAATAGTAGATACAGGCAGGAGGCCAGCTTGGCCCTGTGCTAGGGGGATAGTAGGATTGACAGACCTGGGGCAACTGGCAGCCTGGCTGGCCAGGGCTCTCTGAGTTCAGCTTTCCCACCCTAAGTGTGGCTCCCCTCCCGTTCTGTGAGCTGTGCACACAGCTTGGCACTTGGTGGGAGGGAAGGGGAGACCCCATTAACCTTGGAGGGGGTGTGGGGAGACCTTTCCCATTTGCTACTTCTGGGACACCATCCCCTCCCCAAGACCAGTCCACAATAATGATGACCACATAAGGATCAGTGTGATATGGGCGGAGCCAGCAGGGTCTTCCACCTCCCCACCGGGAGCCACAAGCCCAAGGAAGCACAGAAGGACACACGGGACAGGTGCCCGGCAGGTCCTGGACCAACCCACTGCAGGTGGAAAGAATACGCATGCTCCCTTGCTCCCAGGGCTCCCGGCACCTGCTGTGTGCACTGGTGGCTGAAGGCTGAGCCAGTTGTGCAGCTCCCTCTGCCTCTCTCTACCCTGCACACTTGGCCTTTGGCCCCACCTACTACTTCAGCTACCTGCCCCAACGTCCAGCAGTCTTCTGGAGCCTTCCATGTGGTCCACCTAGGACAGCAGTAACCTTGGTCCAAGCTGATGGTTTGTCAGGAACTGAAGCCCAGGCCCAGGTGGGTCCTGACTCCTGGGACCCTACAGAGGGCTTAGGAGGCTGCACTGGCACCCCTGGCACCACCACCCACCCCTGCCAACCACACACACACCACACCTGGATTAGCTGACCCAGGGTCCTGCTGGACACACACACCCCTGCACCCACCCCTGATCAGCTGACCCTGCGCCCTGCTGGCCTGCCTGCAGGGAGGGCTGGGGGGAGCAGTGAGGTCATTGTCGGAATTAGGATTAGGAGCAGCAGCCGCAGGGATTAGACTGTCCTCCTCCTCAGGGTGCAGCTGGGAGAAGGCTCCCAGGTCAGAGGCTGGTCCGGCCCACAGGCCAGCTGTTTTTCTCTCCAGGCAGCCCAAAGCAAAAGCCAGCCCTGTCTGCCCTGGGCTTCTTAGTGGGGTGAGTCCATGGGTCTCCCAGCTTCCCCTGTGTGGGGTGGTGTGGAATGGGGGAAGGGAACACTCCTAGGCCTGGAACCCCAGGCCACAGCCAGGGAGCCCTGTGTGTCACCCAGAGACCCCAGGCGGCCCCAGTGTGGGTAGCAGCGAGGACCTGTGTGTGCCCAGACACAGGCTTGGGCCACCTGCTGGCTTCCACATCATTTCCCCACCCCGCCACCTCTGCATGATGCAGGGCAGAGTGGGCAGGGCACACTGGGGTCAGCCCAAGTCTCTTCACCTGCTCGGAGCTGGGGACCAACGCCAGCTCCCAGGGACAGCTGCCAGCCCTGGCTGGGTCAGCAAGGCACTCCCTGAGCCCCACAGAGCCGCCTCCCCCCACTGTCAGCCACAGGTCTTCCTCCTCTCCTCTCTTTCCCTCCCCTTCTTTCCCCTCCCCTTCCCCCCTGCTGGGCCCCTAGGGCCTAATCCAGCTTAGTGTACAGCCCACAGGGTACAGCCCAGCTCAGCATTCTGGGGAGGGCGGGGCTGCACAGGCCTCTCCCCTCAGTGCAGCCAGGATGGGGCCCAGAGAAGGCTGGCACTGGCAACAGAGGCGGCTCTGGAAGCTAGGGATGGATACCAGGTGGGTGCTTCACGGGTCCAGAGTCCGAGTTGGCTTCTGTGCTACTCCCAGCAGGGGCAAAGGCTCTGGGACCAGCCACATGAAACCCTTCCGTGTTAGGACACAGCAGCCTCTGCCCTGTCCCTCCTCCCACTCAGATGGGAGCCCTACTTTCACTGTGGGAGGTGGTTTTGACTTCCTGGGTCCCTGTAGGTGGCCTTGGCCCTTTGGTTTGAGCCCAGGGCTGAAGTCCTGTGGGCTGGAAGCATCCCTTGGGACCCCAACTTCCTACTCCCCTCCCAGGCAGCAGGTGGTATGGGGAGGGGGCCAGCATTCAAATAACCAAGTATGTATCTGGAAAAGGCCTGGGAGGGGTTTTGAGGTCAGGCATGCAAGAAGTATGTCCAGGCTCTGTTAGGGTCCGGTTTTGCCAACTCCCCAGAAACTACAGTCTTGCTGGTAATGCAAAAGCAGGCAGAGTTTATTGTGCCAGCATGCTGGGGTCAGACCATTCTTCTTGGGGCACACAGGCCAGCCAAGCAGAAATTGGACCCTAAACTAACAAAAGGCTGGAGATTTATATAGGCTCTTGTGGCTGAACCATACATCAAAAGTAACAGCTTTAGACATGTTAATTTTTTTATGGCCTTCAGGCACAAGCAGTCTGCTCTGTTCCCATAGTCATTACCGTTTATAGCTCTTCCACTGTTGCACCCTTATCTTTATGGTTCCTCCTTTTCCTGGGACTGGAGACTTGTGCCTGTGTCCTCCTGCACCTGGGTTAGTTGGTAGAGAAGGTTTGTGACACTGCTCACAAGCTTGCAGGGGAGCAAGGACAGATTTATCGCTAAAGTAGATTTTTCCCACAGTCCAGGCGCCTCCTGGCCTAGCAAAGTAGCAGTTTCTCGGAACAAAGGAGCCTCACATTGCCCAACAATAACATTCCATTCTAACATTCTAATGTTCTAACATTCTACTATTTTACCCACACTCTAACAGCTCCTTCCTCGCATGGGGGAGAGAACGGTTGATTCTAATGTATGGAGACCCAGCAACAAGGAGGGGAAAATATTAGCCGCCCAGTTTGGTTTTGTACCACAGGCACCCTTTTCCTCTTTGCTTTTACCACGGGCAAGCCCCGAACATTCTAGAATCAGTAGCCGGTGGTTGTATCTCTGTCTTTTCTGATGCGGGTTATAGGGGGACAGGGCTCAGCTCGGGGAGATACATGGCTGCAGGGCTTGGGGTGGGGGCTGTGGGTCTGAGCAGATCCTTTGGGGTCAAAGGGCTTGGGGGTGGGGCACCACAGGGCACAAGAATTCCAGAGTGGACTGGCAGTGGGGACCATGCCTGGCTGTGCAAAGGGAACATGGCCCCAGGACCCCTGCCCGCTTGTCCCCCATGCTGAGCTCAGCAGCCCCTGCCCCCTCTCCAATCTCACCATGCAGCAGGGGGTAAGAAGCAGAGCGGAAAGCGATGCCTTCCCAGCTGCTCTGGCCACCTGTCAGGATCCCCACCCCAAGGCCTGGAGATAGCAGAGGGGAGGGACCAGGTTGGGAAAGGCTTGTTCTGCATCGCAAACCATGGTCAGGGTCAGGCCTGCAGCTGGTCTCCAAACCGCTTGGCAACCCTTGCTCCATCCCCACACAGAGGAGTCCTCCCACCCCCACCCACTTTCTGCTAAGCAGAAGATAAGGAGATTTCCTTTCTTCACTTGGAGGCACTCTGCCCTGCCCCCACCCCATACCCACCTGTGCCTGTCTGTGGCGTAAATCCCTGCTCTGGTGCATGGCCAGGCCAGCATGGAGCAAGGGCGAATTGAAGGGGACCTGGCCCCACGTTCCCCTTCCCCTCTGTTAGTTTTTTTCCAGAGCTAGACCTCAGATCTTCTGGCTGTCTGTGCCTTGATTTCCCCCAGGTTGTGCTGTATCTTCAGAATGGGGGACTCTCTTTCCCCTGCCACTCACATGGGTGCTGGGACAGACAGAGGTTGGCATCCCCTCCACACCCCAAAGAGGGTCTGTTAAATGGCTCAGCAGCCAGCACCCCCTTCCCCGCAGAAGCCCCTGGCCAGAACCCTTTCCAAGGGTTCTTCCTGTCGGGGCAGCTGAGCCGAGGCAGAGGGGTGGGGGGTTCCCATGCAGAGCTGGGGGTGGGGCACAGTGTAGGCTGGTCCATCTATCCCTGTCCCCTCATGCCCTGACTCAGTCTAGGCCCCTGACAAGGCATGACTTGGCCCAGAAACTTCTGGGGCACCTGCTGACTTGTGGGGATTGCACAGGGAGGTGACTTAGGGAAACAAACCTAATCCACAAGTGTGTGAGTGCGCAGTGGTGGGGGCAGCACCTGGGCCAAGTGGGTCTGGGGGATGACAGCGGTCAAAAGCACAAGCTGGTTGTAGTTGGCGGTAGTGGTCCCCTGCTCCCCTCCATCAGCATCACCTCCCCAGTTCATCTTCTGGGAGACACTGGGATGTCATCGTGGTGACACAGCTGTCCTCAAGGCCCAAGTAAGGGTCTGTGTGCGCATCTCCCTCCAGCAAAACACCTGAGCCTTCAGGGTGCCCCATATGTCAGGACGGGACAGTGACTGAGCTCTACTCCCTAAGAGAATGGTAGGACCCACTGCACACCTGGGGATGGCAGAAAACCTCTGGGTGTCATAGTTGGCCATGGGTTGGCAAGAGAAACCTTCAAAGTCTCAGTTCTTATGGAGCAGAAGGCTCTAGGTGCCAAAGCCAGAGACTGTCTTGGGTCCCAGCGGGGACGGGGTTAGTGACAAACCCTAGGTTCAGCACAGTGAGTATGACCCAGTGACCTCCAGCTCCCAGGTACTGCTGCTTAGAGGTGTAAAGCAGTGACACCCTCCCCCAAGATCAGAGCCCTGCAGACAGCACCCTGGACCAATCAGTCCAGGATGTGGATGCCAGCCCATGGGTGGGCTCCCTCGTGGCCCACATTCTCATGTCCCAGGGCTCTGAATACATGTATATCTTCCACAGCAAAGAGAATGGAGAGGATGGACAGTGCCTCCCACCCCAGGGGAAGGGTTATCACCCCTGCAGCCTGCTGGGTGGGCGGGCTTACGGAGGCTGCCTGAGCCTACCTAGGCTCTCTGGGACGAAGACTGTCCCTAGCCCTTCCGGCCCTCACTCTGCAGGCCTGCAAGGACTTCCTGGAACTAGCGGAGCTCCACAGCCGGAAATGGCAGCGGGCGCTGCAGTATGAGCAGGAGCAGCGCGTGCACCTGGAAGAGACCATCGAGCAGTTAGCCAAGCAGCACAACAGCCTCGAGCGGGCCTTCCGCAGTGCCCCTGGCAGGGCCACCAACCCTGCCAAAAGCTTCAGCGAGGGTGAGTGAGCCAGGGCCAGGACAAGACGGACAGACAGGCTGGCCGGGGCTGAAGTTGCCACTGGGTCTTCAGAAATATCATTCCACTTTATTCTGCACCTGCTGTGTCTGACCCAGAGAATGTAGCCCTGAGCGTACCCACCCTCAGGCTTGTTGGGGCCAGTTCTGGCCTGCCTCTCCCATGCCTGTCACCTCTGCCCTCTGCCTAAAGGACAGGAAGCACAGGTGACCTTTGTGGCAGACCCCTTGCCACATACCCCAGGTGCCAGGTAGTAGCCACCCACTTGGCCTTGAGCGGTGCGGTGGGAGTCCATCAGAAAGGGAAGCTGGTCCAGGGACCATTCCAGCCAATGAGGGTATCCCCTTTCCTCCCTCCCCACCCCTACCAAGCCCCGGTTAGTCAGGGCAGGAACAGGTGACTGCATCGGTGGGGGAGGAGGGAGCGAACTTCTGCTTGCCCCCTTAACTTGCTCCAGTCAGCCACGCCTTTAAGTTCAGAGGCTGCAGGGACTAAGGGCAGAAGCCCCTGCCTGTGTGTCCCTAGGAAGCCTCTTGACTCCCAAAGGAGAAGACAGTGAGGAAGATGAAGATACCGAGTACTTTGACGCCATGGAAGACTCCACATCATTCATCACCGTGATCACCGAGGCCAAGGACGACAGGTGGGGATGGGGGAGTCCTCCCCCTCTCCCTTCCAGCCTAGTCAGCCTTCCCCGCCTAGATCTTGGGCTCTATCTGATCACCCTTCTGCCCAGTCCACATACAAACCTCTGGAGGATTTCTCTAAGTCTTGGTCTCCAGCTGAATATTTTTGCTTACTTTCTGGTCTTCCTTGATTTGAAACATACCAAATGTTTGCATCAGGATTTTCTTTTTAAAATGTATTTAACATCCTGTACTTTTTTTAAAAAAAAAGATTTATTGGAAAGTCAGATATACAGAGAGGGTCTCCCACACAGGTACAGGGTCCGAAGGCTCTGGGTTGTCCTCAACTGCTTTCCCAGGCCACAAACAGGGAGCTGGGTGGGAAGTAGAGCAGCCGGGATTAGAACCTGCACCCAAAGAGATCCCAGTGTGTTCAAGGCAAGGACTTTAGCAGCTAGGCCACGCCGCCAGGCCTGCAGCCTGTCAGTTTTAATAGCATAGCATCATCTTGTTAGCTCTGTGGTCAGGGAAGGGCCTGCCCTGCTGAGATGGTCATGTGCTGTTTGGAACCTCAGCTGGGGCTTGTATAGCACTCCCTGCAGCTGTGGCTGACCTTTCCTACAACACACACTTCTGGGTACGTATCACACCCACTTGTTGCTCTTCAGGAACCCAATCAAGGGTGGGAATCAGCCCAGCAGACAGCAAGGAAATGTCTGAGGGCCCATCAAGCATAAAGTGCTGACCTGGAAAGAGCTGTATCAGGCCCGGCGGCGTGGCCTAGCGGTTAAAGCCCTCGCCTTGAACACGCCGGGATCCCCTATGGGTGCTGGTTCTAATCCCGGCTGCTCTACTTCCCACCCAGCTCTGTTTGTGTTCTGGGAAAAGCAGTCGAGGATGGCACAAAGCCTTGTGACCCTGCACCTGTGTAGGAGACCTGGAGGAAGTTCCTGGCTTCAGCCTGGCTTCAGCCTGGCTTCAGGCCGGTGTAGCACCGGCCGTTGCGCTCATTGGTACATTGACTCCAGTCAAGGGCTTTGCCCAGTACCTGCTACTGGGTGCATCTGGGGTCTCTAAATTGCTACTTGCACCCCTCCAAGTCCCCTGCCTAAGTATCCCACATTACAAATGTCTCCATTGGAGGGGCGGGTAGGGGGTGGAGACAAGGAGGTGCCGCCCATCAGACCTCATGGAGGGTCTGGATGAGGTGGGCTGGGTCCCCAGGAGGCCTAGAGACTTATTGCCACCTGATTTCCCCCCCCCTTCCCCCCAATCTTCCTGCAGAAAAGCTGAAGGTGGAACTGTGCCGGGCCCTGTAGACTGGGCCTCAACAGACAATGGGAGTGAGGTAAGCATGCCTATGATGCTGACCCCTGGCCACCAGGGTGGCCCAGCATCCTGCCACTTTTGGAGGCAGAGGAGTGAGGGGAGTTCCTGGTCTCACCTAGGACGAGTTGGGTAGACCCAGCCTCCCCTCCCTGCCAGCAGCTGGCTTGGCGTTAGTCCTTGGTGGTGGGTCTAAGGTGAGGGTGGGGCCTCTGCTGATGGTCATGCCCGGCGTCTCCGGCAGGTGCTGGACAGTGCTGCGCTTGTGCCCAAAGGCGCATCCAGGGTCAGGAGGAGATCCCGCATCCCCGACAAGCCCAACTACAGCCTTAACCTCTGGAGCATCATGAAGAACTGCATTGGCCGGGAGCTCTCCAAGATCCCTATGCCAGTGGGTGGCTCGGGGGCGGGCATACAGCCTGGGTGTTGGGGTCCCAAAGGCTCCCGAGGAGTATGTCATGATGTGATCTATCAGCGTTGCCTGTTCTCCACCCCACCCCACCAGAAAGCAGGGGCCTTCTTCAGGTTGTGTGTAGAACCTGCAGACCTCACATTGTCCACGCTGCTCAGGATTAGGTTGCAGGGAGCTGCAGGGTTGCACCTTGGGTGGGAGGAGAAGGCTGGCCATGCTGGGAGCTGCCCAGCCCAGGAAATGAGCACTGAGCCAGGCCACACTGCAGACAGAGCCCCAGACCAAACGGATCACTCCATGCTGTGGGGATGGCCAGGGCACCCAAGGAAGCAGCAGCGAGGACACCATCCAAGCAGGGACCTCCCTAAGCCTTGGAAGCCACAGGGGTGACCCAGGGGCTGGGGCCCTCCTGACTGGCCCTCCCCTGCCTGCTTGCTCACTCCCCCCTCTCCCCAGGTGAACTTCAACGAGCCCCTGTCCATGCTCCAGCGGCTGACGGAAGACCTGGAGTACCACCACCTGCTGGACAAGGCGGTGCACTGCGCCAGCTCGGTGGAGCAGATGTGCCTGGTGGCCGCCTTCTCCGTGTCCTCTTACTCCACCACTGTGCACCGTGTTGCCAAGCCCTTCAACCCCATGCTGGGGGAGACCTTCGAGCTAGACCGCCTCGAGGACATGGGCCTGCGCTCGCTCTGTGAGCAGGTAAGAGCCAAACTTTGGCCCAAGGTCAGAGCAGGCGCATCCCAGCCCTCTGGGGCAGGGCCAGGACCTGCTGGAGACAGCAGTGGGCCAGAATCATGTAAGGAGGTCTGGACCCTTTTCCTAGCAGGGAGCTGTGGAATGAGGTAGAGGGACATTTTCTGGGGGATTCCAGGTGGGCTGGAAGGCAAGAAGAGACCCAGCCCTCCTCGTGGGAGAAGAGGTGCCCAGGCAGCCGCAGGCGGGGATGTGGCTGCAAGGGATGCCGCAGAGGGGACAGCGACCCAGGAGATCTTAGCTGCTGCTTTGCCAGCAATGGTGACCCCAGGAACTTTGGCCTGAGTTGCCCTCCAAGGCCCAGGTGCTAGTCTGGCATCGGTGGGGGTGGGTGGGTTTGCATCGGGCATGTGAGCAGACATGGCTGGCTCCTGGGGGACCAGCATGCAAGGCAGATCTGTGACTAGTGGGATTTCTGGTTTATTTAAGAATGGAGAAGTCAGGAGGCAGTCTGGCTGAGGAAGGCAAGAGGGTGAGGAGAAAGACTCCTGGCTTACTTGCTCCCCCATTTCTACCCCTCCATCCTGGGCAGGGTGGACCTCTCTGGCTACCCACAGGCAGGTGGGCATGGCAGATAGAGCCTCCATGAGGGACCAGAGAAAAGCAGGCCCAGGAGACTGGAGGGCATGTGGCATGAGCCTGGCTGGGGCACCTGGGACATAGTGTGGAGCAGACAGAACTCCTGGAGGCTGACCCCTTGGAATCAGTCCAGCATTTGACCTTGGGGAAGCCCCACAGGCTCCAGGCATGGGTGGGTGACCAGGCTAAAGGACCACTCACTACATGGGGGCAGTTGGAACCGTGCTTCAGGCACAGGGAAGCATTGGAGGCTCAGGTTGAACCTGTGTCGGTGCAGGTGTCTGGGGCTGGTTCTGGAGTTCTTTGCCCTAGGGAGCAAGCAGGGAACAGGTGGGCAGATTTGCCACAGTGGGGGCAAGAAGGGACAGGGAAGTTATGGCACAGCTGTCAGCTGGCAGTGAGCTAGCAGCAGGTGTCCTGGAAATGAGAGCAGTGATCGGGGTACCTGGTACCATGTGATGGTCCCCTTAGAAGCTGAGGTCCCAGACAGGACCCCCTAGGGCCCAACTGTGGCCCCTGGGTTCAGCTGGCCTGACCAACCCGGGGCCTCCACAGTTTCACACATCCCAACATCTGTGGCCTTGGAAAAGCAGGACACCGACACCCTCAGAGTAGCCCATCACAAGCATTACACGCACCCTACCCCATCCCTCCTGCCTGCCCACCCCCCCCCCCATGATGTGCAGGCCCATGGGCTGGGGCAGGTCCAGAATGGCCACCTGCCTGCCAACTCTGAGCCCTGCCTTTTCTGGGGCAGGTAGTGGGGAGGTCTGCCTTAGGGGGGGCCAGCTTGCCTTGTACCCAGTCCACGATGCACTCTGGTCCCAGGTGAGCCATCACCCCCCTTCGGCTGCACACTATGTGTTCTCCAAGCACGGCTGGAACCTCTGGCAGGAGATCACCATTGCCAGCAAGTTCCGGGGGAAATACCTCTCCATCATGCCGCTAGGTGAGCTGGGACCCCGTGCACCCTGGGACAGGAGGCACTCTGCTGACCCAAGGGAGGATTCTGTTTACCAAAAGCCTGGCTGGGGCTAGCACAGGCTAAGCCTCTGCCTGCAATGCCAGCATCCCATAGGGTCAGCTCCCTGGAAAGACAAGGGAAGCTGTCTCAAGTCCTTGGGGCCCTGCGTTCCACACAGAAGGGTTCCAGGCTCTTGCCTTGAGCCTTGCCCAGTCAAAGCCATTGCTGCCATTTGGGAAGTGAACTAGTGAATGAAAGATCTCTTTCTCTCCACCTCCCACTCACCTCACTCTGCCTTTAAAATACATTTTTTAAAGTCTGGGGTTCCCAGAGGGAAACTTCTTGCAACCCTCCCTCTAACCTGGGCCTCCATTCCAGCTGCGCCCCCAGCTTGCCTACATATTCCTCTGGCTCTCCAGACTCTGAGCCTGTGGGGTGGAGGCCACCTGGGCTCTGGACTTGGCCTCTTACCTGTCCCTGGATTCCAGGTGCCATCCACTTAGAATTCCAGGCCAGTGGAAATCACTACGTGTGGAGGAAGAGCACCTCAACTGTGCACAACATCATCGTGGGCAAGCTCTGGATCGACCAGGTCAGGGGTGCCCCTGTGGGGGCTGCGGGGAGTGTGTCTGATGCATGAATCACTCTCTGACCCCACTTCCCACCAGTCAGGGGACATCGAGATTGTGAATCATAAGACCAATGACCGGTGCCAGCTCAAGTTCATGCCCTACAGCTACTTCTCCAAAGAGGCAGCCCGAAAGGTTAGCAGACCCGCCCCCCAACCTCTGGGAACCCCAGGAAGCAACCCAAAAGGGGCACATGTCCTGCTGAGGTCTCTGCTCCCCCTAACCTGCAGGTGACAGGGGTGGTGAGTGACAGCCAGGGCAAGGCCCACTATGTGCTGTCGGGCTCGTGGGATGAGCAGATGGAGTGCTCCAAGATCCTGCACAGCAGCCCCAGCTCTGACGGGAAGCAGAAGACAGTCTACCAGACCCTGCCAGCTAAGCTGCTGTGGAAGAAGTACCCACTGCCGTGAGTAGGGGCTGGGGACCCTGGCTTGCAACACGGGGCAAGGGAAGAGACGGGAGCACCGGGCACAGGCAGCTGGGGGAAGTTCAAGGGTCAGCTGGGCAGAGAGAAGATTAGGAGGTAGACACCCTGGTGTGGACGCAGACATCCTGTAGTAAGTCAGGTGAAACTGCCAGCAAAGGTGGGCAGGTGCTGTGCAGAGACCGTAAACAATCGGAGGGACAGAGTCCCTTCCCCACATGGTTTCAGGGAATGGAAACCGAACCCGATGCTATAACATTGCAGAATAGATTCAAAGAGGACAAAATAGCTCTTCTTCCTGTGTAAAACTTATGAAAGAGAATTGATCACCTCAATATAGAGAGAATACATTAATCAAACTGTAGCACAAAGACAGGAAGCTAGAGGGAGAAGAGACGGCTCATGGCTAGACTCTGAGCCAGGCCCAGGACCTCCTGGGAGTTTGCTGGTGGGCAGCCCTTCTTGCTAGACCTCCCCAGGCCCACCATCTGCATGGCCTCCAGGCCCCTCCTGCACATAGCAGCATGTCTGAGCACAAAAGTCTGGCGTACTTCTAATTAGAGTCCCAGCAGGAAAAGGAGACCCTATCTGGAAAAAAAAAAAAAAAAGAGAGAGAGAGAGAGAACTTAATAAACCTGTTCAGTGCAACCTGTTGGAAATGAAATCTGAGACCATTAAGTAAGCTGCTACAGAAGATGTTTTCTGCAATTGTGTGAGCTCAAAGGCAGCCAGATGTAAGCTCGAGGCCCCCCACCAGCTCCCTGTCCCCCATAGCCAACCCTGGAAGGGAGGGAGTCTCCTAAGGCAGGGGGAATGTTGAAATAGACATTCTCAGGCCCACTGAAACTCAGTTTGCAATGGGTACACCTGCATTCAAAGACACAGCCCCAGGTAGAAGGAAACTAATGCCGGATGAAAGCTCTCAGACAGAAAGGAACAAAGAACCAAAAAACCTGTCCGGATCTAAAGGAGCAGCGAATCCGCAGGGCCAGCCCGTCTTGCCGGGTTCAGCAATTTTAGAGCACCGCTGTGAGTCTGTTGCTCCGAGCAGGGATGTGTGTAGGGAAAGCACCCCGAGTCTCCCCTGTGCTCCCCAGAGGACAGTAAGGATGCACGGGGACGTGGATGGCAGGAAGTGGTTAGAGGACACTCCAGTCGGGAGTCGCCACTTTCAGGTCCCTGCTCCGCTCTCGGTTCCAGCCATTCTGCTGATGCACACGGTGGCAGGTGATGGCTCAGCAAGAAATGCAAATTGAGTTCTGAGACCCTGGCATGTGAAAAAAAAAGACTTTTTACTTTATTCTGAAACTCTGATTTTTTTTTTCTAAACATGCACTTTCCATGAACTTTCTGAAGTACCCTCAGCTCATGTAAAACAGTGACTAAAAGCACACATATTAACTGGAATCCCAGAAGGAAAGGAAATTAACAACCCCCCCCCCAATCTGAGATTTTGGGAGAAATAGTTCAAGCATGAAGATAAACTTGCAAAAATAAATACATGAGGGGTGAACATTGTGCCACAGTGGGTTACATGGCTGCTTTTGGGACACCCGAAATGGATGCCATGTTGGAGTGCAGGTTCCAGTCCTGACTGCACTTCCGATCCAGCTTCCTGCTGATGCGCCTGGAAGTCTGTAGAGGACGGCCCAAGTGCTTGGGTTTCTGCCACCAAGGAAACCCAGCTCCAGCTCCTGACACCCAGTGTCTTTTAAAATAACACACACACTTTTTGAAGAAACAGGGCTCCCTCTCTGGTTCACTCTTCACATGCCTGTAGGACCAGGGCTGGGCTTGGAGCTCAATCTAGCTCCCCCTGTGGGTGCCAGCCAGCCAGTTAGCTGACCCTTGGTGCTAAGGCACAGCCTGGGAAGCAGCAGGCAATGACCTGAGTAGTGGAGTCCCTTAGACCCACACTGGGGACCCACACTAGTGTCTAGCTCCTGGCTGTGACCTGGCCCAGCCCTTACCGTTTGGGGGCATTTAAGGAATGAAACAACAGATAGGAGATCTTGAACTTTATCCTCTCTGCCTTTCAAATAAAGAGGGGAGGGGTGAAGGAATTTAGAAGATACTACAATAGACATAAAATGAAAATGATTTGTTCGACAGTCACTAGGACCAAAGAAAGATAATATGCCCATTTTAAGGAAGAGTTAAAAGTCTAGACAATGTTATTTACCTAATGGGATAAGGAGAAGAGCAATATTTTTGAAAATGCTTCTTTCTTATTAAACAAAGAAGCCCAAGCGTTGCCAACAATTACAGCAACCACAAATAAACGCCACTCACTAGTTAAACAGTCCTCAATGGCGAAGGCTGTACAAGCTCGATTTGAATCAGGCACGAAAAACCTTAAGGCCAAAGGGGGCAGAGGCTGAACTGCTCAAGAAAGTGTAATTCTTTAGACACCATGCATGCAACCTCTACAAAAACAGATGGATGTGCAAGGGGACAAACTGGCAAAAACCCATCCCCACAGTGGGAGACTTGGAATGTCACTCCACCCCTGGCACCTCCTGCCAGGTCACATTCAGACTATAAAAAACAGATGAAGGCAGCAAAAGCAACAGGACATATACAGGTAAGAGGGGGTGCCCGTCTCACCTGTATGCTGAATGTGTAAACATTGTCCTTTCAAACTCCACCAAATTTCCCAGGGCAGCATACAGAACACATTCTGTGATAAGAAAATGAGACCAGAAGTTGAAAACAAAATGACCAAAAAAAAAAAAATCCTCCTCGTGTTTGGGAAAGAAAAAACTACTAAATAATCATGAATAAAATAGATTAGAATGGAAGACCTTAAATACCTAAAAGGCGAAGTGACATCACAGACACCAACGTTGGCCGGGTGCAACAACGGAAGTGTGTTGGCCCTAAAGAGTTCATACTTTTGAGGCTTATTAAAGTTTCCATTATAAAAAAAAAAATTCAAGGAAGTTCAACATAAAATACATACTTTTAAAAAGGAAAAATAAATATGTCTGGTAAAGTCATAAAGTTGTTTCTGTGACAAAAAGCAATACTGATCTAAATGCAAGTAGTAATAAAATATTTTATGACACAAAATATATAGAGATCAGCAAAGGTCAGGTCAAAAGGACAAATTCTTAGAAAAAAAAATACAGTGCACAACCAATGCTGGTGTCAAGAGGATAAACTCATACAATAATTCAAGAAAACTCAAGCAGCCTTTTTAAACACAAGAACCAGGGAATTTAACGGGTGAATTCTACCAACCTTCCAAGAGACAGATCCTTCCAATTTTCTGTAATGTCTTCCAGACCACAGAAAAATAGCAAATAGCCTCGTATGTTATATGATGCTAATAACCCTATACCAAATCTGGCTAAGATCTTAGCAGGAAAATAAAATATCTGCCTTCTTTCACAGCTCCCACGGGAGCTGTGACCCCATAAAGCCGCCGTAAGTTGAGAAGAGCAGCTGAAAGTGCAATGAATACACCCAACCTGCCCATCACTGTGGCTGCTGCCCATCGTGCGTGTGGCTGGCCAGGAGCTTCCACTCAGTCCCTCTGTCCAGCATGACCGAAAGCAACCAGGCCTGGAAGAGATCAAAATTCAGAAATCTCAGGGAGTATGATTTCTGCTGTATGTGAATTACCTACACAGTCACACAGTCAGAATATCATTGTTGAACCATCAGCCCACATGAGGGATATCTATATTGGCAAAATTACAAGATCAAACATCAGAAACCCCAACAGTAAACAAAAAGGCTGACTTTGTCAGAATAAAAGAGTAATTTTACTTGGAAATGCATCCCTTGGTCACATTAATATCTCAATAGATTCCAGAAAAATTGCTTCAGGTGCCTAAAAACAAGATTTATGTACAAAAGCCAATTGTATTTTTATAACTAGCAAATAACCAGAAATGCAATTTAAGAAAAAATATCAGTTGTATCCAAGAACTTATTTTAAAAAAAACCAAAAGCTGTATTTGTTTACTTGAAAGGCAGTTAGAATCTCAACTCTAGTAGTTCAGTCACCAGATGGCTGCAAGGGCCAGATCAGGGTTGGTCCAAAGCCAGAAGCCTGCAGTTTCATCTAGGTCTTCCATGTAGGTACAGGAGGCCAAGCGCTTGGGCCATCTTCTTTAGCAGGGAGCTGGATTGCAAGTGGAGCAACTGGGACTCAAATTGGTGCCCATACAGGATGCCAGTACTGGCAGGCAGAGGCTTAACTTGCCACTAAGAGATATCAAAGAAGAACTAAATAAAGGAAAATGTACTATTCAGATTTTTTTTTTTAAGTTAGGCTTTGTAAAGCTGTCTAAAGAATCAGTAAATGTATGATCATTTTTAACTATGTTGAAGATCAAACAGCGAGGATATTTCTGAAGGTGGCCAGAGAAAAGAGGACTCGCCCTGCTGGCCAGCAGGACTGATTTTGAAGCTGTAGTGTTCCCAAATGATGATCCCAGATGGAAGAGCCATGGCTGTGTCTTTGATATGACAAAGGGGGCAGGTCAGATCGTGTAGACAGATGGGCCCTTTTACTTTATAGATCCGGGGAGAAGCGGTTATTCATATGGAAAATAGGAACAATGACTCTCTCACATTGTAATCCAATTAAGTTCCTGATAAAGCTGTTACAATAAGCTTTGTTAATATGCTAAGTAAAAAATAAAAATGGCTGTCTTAGACGGTAAGGAAATATATTTTATTCAGTTGACCTAAAAGATACTGATGCACTTGACAATAGTAAAATACTTCTTATTCATTAAGAGGAATATTGCTCATTAAGAGACAGTTAATTTAGGTTGCGGGCATTTGACTTCTGGTTAGGACCTCCGCATCCCATGTTGGAGTGCCTGGGTTCAAGTTCAAGGTCCACCCAAGTCCAGCGTCTTGCTACTGCACACTCTGGGAAAACAAGAATTTCTTGGCTCCCTGCCACCCACATGCAGGAGCTGGCTCTAGTCCCCGTTCCTGGCCTTGGCCTGCCCTAGCAGCTCAATGGTCTGCCTCTGTTTCTCTGTGACTGCCTTTTGAACAATTTTTAAAAAGGCATTTTTAAAGCAAGTGAAAAGGCAGCATATACACATGGAGAAGGAAATCACCATAGTTAACACCTAACAGAGGGTTAGTATCAAAAAATACAGACAGGGGCGACATTTGGCCTACTGATTAAGATGCCAGTTAGGATGCCTGCAGTCTACGTGGGAATGCCTGTAGCAGCTCATTCCAGATTCCTGCTCAGACAGACCCAGGCAAACAGCAGCGATGGCACAGTAACTGGGCTGCTGCTGCACTGACGGGAGGCCGGGAGTGGGTCTCCAGCTACTAGCTTCAGCCTGGCCTCGCCCCAGCTGATACAGAATTAGGGGAAGGAACCAGTGGCTGGAAGTTGTCCCAGTTTCTCTGGCTCGCTCTCTGCTTCTCAAACTTTTAAAACAAAGATTACAGAAATAATATTTTATCACAATTGAAAATAGCAGATTTTAAAGAGGATAGAGAAAGAAATTCTTATAGGTAAATGGGATAAGAAATCATCTAAAGTCCTCATCTTGCATGCACCAGCATCACATTATGGATGCTGCCCCACTTCCCATCCAGCTCCCTGCCTGTGGCCTGGGAAAGCAGTCGAGGATGGTCCAAAGCCTTGGGATCCTGTACTCATGTGGGAGACCCAGAAGAAGCTCCAGTCTCCTGGCTTTGGAATGGCTTAACTCTGGCTGTTGCTGCCACTTGGGGAGCAAACCAGCAGACAGAAGATCTTTCTGTCTTTCCTTCTCTCTGTAAATCTGCATTTCAATATTTTTTTAAAATCTACCTATCTGTGGTCTACGGGAGATGACATCTAAGGGAGAAAATTAAAGACTGGAATAGAAAGATTAGGACGAGGGGGTGGGTGACACCAATATAAATACTTGGTGTGAGCATCTGGCCCGGCAGCTGAAATGCCTGATCCTACATGAGGTGCTGGGCTTGGTGGGCTCCTCTGGCTCCCATCTGCTGCTCACACAGACCCTGCTGTGGGTAGGGCTCCCGCAGGAGGGCCTGCCTGCATCTCCTGCCCCGGCCAGCCCCTGGCATTGTGGGCACCTGAGGAACAAACCCGCAGCAGATGGGATTTCTCTCTGTAACAAGTAATACTAGAGAGGGAAAGTTCATAAGGAGGAAATGGACAACCAAATGGTAACTTTTAATCTACCTCTCTTCATTATCGATAGGGGGAAAAAAAAAAAGACAGCTAACACTGCCCACCAGTAACAGCAAGAAACCTGTTCTCATCTATCCTACATGGAACAGGTGCAAAAACGTGCCCCCACATTTATGAAGAGAGCATTCCAGCTAATCCACAGGTCAAAGCCTTGAAGGGAGACACACTCACAGACAGACAGAGGACGGTGATACAGAGCGGAAGTGACACGAGTCAGCTAAAGCAGTACTTCAAATGCACAAGTCCCCAACTTTTACTCTGGAGCAAAAGTGACACAACGTACAGCCAAAACTATAGCTCAGATTCTTAATTTTATCTTTGAAAGATTTTAAGAGATGTGTTGTTTCTTTGAAAGGCAGAATTAGGGAGAGGGAAAGACAGATCTTCCATCGTCTGCCTCCCAAAATGGTTACAACGGCCAGGTCTCCCACATTGGTGGCAGGAGCCCAAGCACTGGGGCCATCTTCCACCGCTTTCCCAGGCCATGAGCAGGGGGCTGGATTGGAAGGTGGCCATTAGGGCCTTAACTGGCTCTTAGTGGGGTGCTGGCATCTCAGGTGGCTTAACATATTATGCCTGTATTTGGCCTAAGATTTCGTTATTTAAAAGGCAGAGTTTGAGATTTTCCATTGCTGGTTCACACCCCCACACGACAGGGCGGAGCCAGGCTGAAGCCAGCAGCCCGGAACTCCATTGGCTTTCTGACATGGTTGGCAGGGTTCCAATGCTTAAACCATCTTCCATTGCTTTCTTAGGCACATTGGCAGGGAGCTGGGATAGGAAGTGGAGCAATGAGGACTCAAAGTGGCGTTCACATGGGATGCCAACACAAGTTTGAACAGCAAACTGAACCCCGACAAAGTAGGAAAATAAAAAGCAAAATAAGTAAAGGCAGAGAAATGAAATCCAAGACAGGATCACAGAGTGTGGCGCTCCAACAGCGGGTACAATGGACAGGCCTCTGGTGTGCTGTTCTGCATGGAGACAAGGGTGCTTGCAGCTAAAACCACAGGCACAGGACCACCCTAACCGTGAGGGCGTTAGGAAGCTGCTTTCTGCTGACTGGGTGAAACTGGTAACATTCCGAGGTTGCAAATCAGCAGTCGGGGAGGGGGTGGACAGCAGATCCTCACTCAAAGGTGTGAGGCCTTTATGTAAGAAAGCTGGGTTGAGAAGGGGGACAGCAGGCAGCCAGGGTGCCATGTCCCCGGCAGGGAGAACGCGGAGAACATGTACTACTTCTCGGAGCTGGCCCTGACCCTCAACGAGCAAGAGGAGGGCGTGGCGCCCACCGACAGCCGCCTGCGGCCGGACCAGCGGCTCATGGAGAAGGGCCGCTGGGACGAAGCCAACATCGAGAAGCAGAGGTTGGAGGAGAAGCAGCGTTTGTCCAGGCGTCGCAGGTTGGAGGCCTGCGCGCCGGGGCGCGTGTGCGGCTCCGAGGAAGGTGAGGCCGGCAGGGGAGGGCACCCCCAACAAGGGGAAGGTTGGGGGGCATCCCTGCCAGAGAGGGGGACGTTTAGGGGGACGGGGGCGGCGCGGAGGTGCAGGCCACTCGTCCAGCCCCGGCCCCCTATGCCCACCCAGCAGAGAAGGAGGCAGACACCTACGTCCCGCTCTGGTTCGAGAAGAGGCTGGACCCGCTGACCGGGGAGATGGCCTGCGTGTACAAAGGCGGCTACTGGGAGGCCAAGGAGAAGCAAGACTGGCACATGTGCCCCAATATCTTCTGAGGGGCAAAAACACAGGCGGCTCACTTTTCCTGTAATGCATTCAACTTACTACTGAAAGCCTACTCCCCTCCAAACCTATTTCTTCCCCCCCCCCTTTTTTTTTAAACACACACACACACACACACACACACACACACACACACACACACACACAGTTTTAGGGGCTTGGAAGGAGGAAGGGCTGACCCAGATTCTCTCCTGCCTCCGCGTGCTCTGGGTCACCCCATGCCGCTTCCCTCAGAGGCTTGGGCTCCTCTGGGAACCCCAGCTCCCAGGGACCACAACTCAGGCCTGCTGGCCCGGGCCACATGGGCTGCCCCAGCCACCAGTCCCCAACCTAGGCAGGAACTGGTCCCTCCCAGGGGGAGCCTCTTTTGACTTTTTTAAAGGGAAAGAATAATAATAATACAGCCTGCATTTCTTTCCAGCCCTGACTTTACTAATCTTTTTTTTTTTTTTTAAGTACAACACTCAACAGACAGCTTTCCAAGTGTGCTTTCTTGCCATACAACTCTCCTGGCAAGAACCCCTTCTTTTTTTAAGACTTTGGGAAGCCTTTTGAGTCAGAAGTATTTTGTAGGGTCTCCCCACCCCTACCCCGGGGTTGGTGTCTGAGCCATGCCCTCCACCCCAGCCCACAGATCAGAGATCAGAGCAGAAGTGGGCTCCCCCCCCCCACCCCGGGAGAACACGCTGGAGGTTGCTGTAGGAGCTACAGCTCCCCATTGTCTGGGAATGCCCTGATTTGAGGACAGCCGCCCCTGGCCCAGCCTTGGCCATGGTGGGGCAGCTCCCCTCGCCATAAAGAGGCCAGGAAAGGGCCAGCAGGTATGGCCTGCAGGTGCTCCCCATCCTCCTGAGAAACAGGTCCCAAATCAGCAATAACAAACTAACCCTCAGTTCTGGCCTGGGCTGGTGACCCAGGCACCAGAAACCTGGCCTCCCACCTCGTCCTCAGGTGGCTCCGGGGTGCCCCCATCTCTGCACCCCCCAAACTCTTTTATTTGCCTAATTTATTTATATATATATATAAATAATATATATGAATATATATAAAATAGCTATTTTGCTTAAATTTCTATGGTATGTGAAAGTGAAATGAAGACAGGGCACCTGCACCTGTCCGAGTCTGGCTCCTGACCACTGTACCCTTCTTGCTACCCCCTCCTGTCATGCCCCCTTTCCAGAACCTTCTGACAACTGTGGGGAGACTGGCCCACCATGGCCACTCCTCCAGCCCCTCCCCCACTTCCCTTTTAGTCCTGCAAGTTCAACTTGGGAGTTTTCTTTCTACTCCACAATGGATTTTGTTTTATATATATATATTAAAAAAAAAAAGTGAAAACACCAATGCGTGAAATGCCTTACGATGCCCACTTAAAGAGGTGGGGTGGGGTGGGCCAGGGATCCCCACTGGGTCTCCTTGAAGCTGTGGAATGTACCTTGTTTTGTGAAAGCGGGCACCTTTTCACCAATAAAGAAAAAAAAAAAAACTTGGCTTTGGAGTTTTCCACCAGTCTGACCCCAAATCTGTCTTGTAGCTCCATCAAAATCAGATGATGGGGAAGGGCGCAGGAAGGCAGAATTGGTCACAGCTCTGCTAGGATCTGCTCTGATGCTGCGACCTCTCGACTCACACCAGAACCCAGATGTGTCCCTCCCCTGGGAGAGCTGTAGCCACCAGCAGCACCGCCAGTCAGTTCCTGGAGTAGAGGAGGGTTAAGGCTGCGGCAGCCCCTGCACTCAAGAGTTCCGTGTAACCTAGGCTGCTTGTGTTGCCTGAGTTGCCAAGCAACGTGGATCATCAGCTTCTAAGACCCCAGCAGAGGCTAGTGGTTTGGCTGGCTTAGGCCCTCCTCCCCACTGCTGGCACCTGCAGGTGAATGGGTGGTGCTGAAGGGCGGGGTGCTGACCCTCTGCCTCACACACCACGGGATCCACCCCCAGCCCTACAGAACTCCTTCCCCCAAAGGTGCATCTTTGTGTGGAGGGGGCCGCTTGGGGAGCCCTCAGAGATGTGGAGCAGCTACACAAGACTGGCAAGAGCTGGCAACCCTAAGATGGAGCCATCCCAGAGGGCAGTGGCAAGGGCTTGCAAGAGGAGGGGCTGGACAGCCATTCCGGCAATGGCCAGAGATGACAACAGCCAATTCACTTGAGACAACATAAGAGACTTCAAGAGGTCTGGGGCGAAAGGCAAACTCTGAGCAGCGAGTAACACACACCTGGAAAAGTCCACTCTGATCAGGACACAGATGGAGCATCTCCCTACCCCAGCTACCACTGAGTAGAAAATGTAACCACCACCACCATCAGCAGCAAAAGAAGCTGCAAGGGACCACATTCAATGGTGCCTAGTGGTTAGCACACGGCTGGGACACTTGGGCAGCATCTCAGAGTTCAGTTCCCAGCCAGCCGCTGACCCCAGCCTCCTGCTGCTCTGCGCCCTGCGAGGGGGAAGCAGCTGATGTCCCAAATGACTGGCTTTCTGCCACCTCTGGGGGGAACCTGGGTTGAGGTCCCAGCTCCCAGCTTCAGCCCAGCCCACAGCAATACGTAAGGGAAGTGAATCAGGGGATAGGAAATAAAATGGGTGTGTGTGTGTGTGTGTGTGTGTGTGTGTGTGTAATAAGTAAGTAAAACATCTAAAACATCTTACGAAGAGATATAAAACATGTAAAAGACCTTTCTTGTTATGAGAGAGAAGAGACCCAAGTTAAGAGGAAAAAATGTTATTGTTACGAACAGGCAAACTCAGTTATATCAGCTTTAAGTCTACAAATTCAACATAATCCCTATCAAAATTCCACCAGCATATTTCAAAAATAACAAAAAAATTAAGATTTATTTATTTTTTATTTATTATTGAAAAGGCAGATTCACCTGCTGGTTCCAAGTGGCCACAACAGTTGGAACTAAGCCAATCTGCAGCCAGGAGCCAGGAGCTTCTTCCGGGTCTCCTACATGAGTGCAGGGTCCCAAGGCTTTGGGCTGTCCTCAACTGCTTTCCCAGGCCACAAGCAGGGAGCTGGATGGAAAGTGAAGCAGCCAGGATTAGAACTGTGTCCATATGGGGTCCCAACATTTGCAAGGTGAGGATTTTTTAGCCACTAAGCTACCGTGCCAGGTCCTCAACATTTTTTTAATTCTTAAATAACTTGAGGACTTGGAGCCAGCACTGTAGCTAAGCAGCATCCCATACAGGCGCTAGTTTGTTTCCTGGCTGCTCCACCTCCCATCTAACTCCCTTATAGCCTGGGGAAGCAGCAAAGCATGACCCAAGTCCTTGGGATCCTGTACCCCTGTGGGAGACCTGGAAGAAGTTCCTGGCTTCTGGCTTCAGATTGGTTCAGCACCAGCTATTGCAGCCATTTGGGGAATGAACCAGATGAAAGGTTTCTGTTTTTCCTGCTTTCTCCTTGTTAACTATGCTTTTCAGGTAAAACTATTTTTTAAAAAAATATTTTTAAGAAAAATGATTTGGGAGAAAAAAAAATAACTTGGGGGCTGGAGAAGAGAAATGGGGATTTGACCTGTAGACACCCAAACATCCTTAAGAGCTACGGGCAATTCTGTGCTGCTCTGCGCTTCCTGCCCGGCCCACCTGCGCCCCCTGCCGGGCCCGCCATGTACTGCACGTTATGACTGCCTCCCCTTACCCTTAAAGAGTCTTCTTCAGTACCCCCAGTCCCTCAAAACACAGTTGTAGCATCAAAAAATTCCAGGCCTGGCAGATCAGCTATGGCAGAGGCGTGGGGTGACAATTCTGGAGCTAAGAGAAAGAAATGGGGAAGAGCTGGGCCTAAGGGCCCGCGAAGCTGGTCTTCCACAGGTACTGGAAGTCAATCTGGTTGCCTCCCACAGGCTTGCGGGGGGCGGAAGAGGGCAGAGACCGCAAGGAGGTGAAGAGGAGTTAGTTCTGAGGTTCTTGTGTCTCCCGGGCTTGACACGAGAGGAGTGGGGGAGGATGCCAGAGACACACATTCTAGAACCACAGCGACAGAGACGATTGTCCCCCTCATCCCCAATATTGCTTATTTTCATGAAGCTGGGTCACATGCATAACTTCAAGAATGAAACCAACAAAGACCGTGCAAAAACCTAAGAAGCAGACAGTGCAACCTCGTGCAGAGAAAACAGTCTCATAAATTCAAATGGGACAACATCAAACAGCATCCACCCGCATATGCCAAACACTGTATCCCACGTTGGTAAATCCACGCCTCATTCAGGTTTACTAAAGAGATGCAAGAATGGGTTAAGGTCAGGAAGCTTTGCATGAGAGGAGAAAAGGCAAGTTGACAGATAGGGGAGCTAAAGAAGGTCCCATGCATGCCTGATTTGCTCCTAAGGGCGGAGGGTGGGGGGGAGGAGGGACGGGGCGGTGGTGGGGAAGATTTTCTTTGAATGGAACAGGAGCAATCATTGGAGTGACCCAGAAATGTTCTAAGAACACATGAAAAATACCAATATACACAACCAAGATCAATGAATCCTAGTCAGGGTAAACAAAGAGATACACAGCTAATAAAGCCTCCAGACCATTTAAACAACAGATTGGAAAAAAAAAAAAAAAGATTTTAAAGAACATCAACAGTCTCGACTGAGAGCCACCCTCAAAGAAAGATGTCAATGAAATGACATCTCCCAAGTAGAGAAAAAATATTAGTAGCTCTGAAGTCTTTCAGGAACCCAACAAAACCTTGTGAGTATTTACAATGTTAACAGTGTCTTGTGAAGTTTCATCTTGATGAGATATTGCATAATATGACCTACAGGTCATCATTAAAGGATTATCATGCTAAATAGGTTTTAAAATCATTGTGGGGCCCGGCGCGGTGGCGCAGTGGTTAAGGTCCTCGCCTTGCACGCCCGGGATCTCATATGGGCGCCAGTTCTATCCCAGCAGCCCCACTTCCCTTCCAGCTCCCTGCCTGTGGCCCGGGAAAGCAGTCAAGGACGGCCCAAAGCTTTGGGACCCTGCACTCATGTGGGAGACCCAGAAGAGTCTCCTGGCTTCGGATCGGCATAGTATCGGCCGTTGCACT